GTACACTATATATAACCATTACTCCACGTTGTTAACTTGTTCTTCTTCAACCATGTGTATAGAAAGATAGACGATTTTCTTCGCGAAGCCATAGGAAATCTACAAACTTGTTTTTTTGGTTCCGAAAATACTCAAACACTGTTATTGCGAAGTAAAACTATATCTCATCCCAATTGAAGAGAGGAAGTATCGCAGAATACCCGTCCACTAGCTATATTAATATCATGTTTGTGATGTCTTTTGGATTGTCTATGCTCTGAGTGTGTATCCACACCAGGCAAGCTGAAAAGTTCGCCTAATTACAATGGGAATCAACCCGCGATTCTCACTAACGTGAATATCCCGCCTCCCAGGGATGAACCACGCACAAATATTGCTTTTCCACACTTTATTACTATCACAAATTACTAAGGCTCACTAGAATGTTAGTATACGCACGGTTCGCTCTCTCTGTGTTTATAAACTGTATTTTTAGATGATTGATATAAACCGAGCAATTCAGCTCTGTAGCTGCAAATCTGGAGTTTTTTTTGTACAATGATAATAGTAAAAGATATTGCAATGTTTGTTCAGAATTATGGAATAAAAAACAATGAAACTTACAAAGAGTTTACAGGGCAAAGAAATTTACAAGGCAAAGAAATTAAAAGAGTTGCAAAAAAGAGTTACAAAAGCGAGGAAAGCATGTGGGAAAGGCGAATATAAGTGAATAAAATATGTCAGATGTCACCACCACACAAGATATGAAGCCACAATATGTCCTGCTCATATTTTGGCATCTCAACCAAGTAATACTACTTTGAAATCCATACCAATTGCGCGTACAACACACGCTGGGAAGCGCATCTAATAAGAAGTGTATCTGCTGAATGTTTTAAGGACATATGGGTCAATGATGCGTCCCACTATCTATGAGGAGTACGACTGTCTACGAAAAAAAAATTACATGGTGAGGTGTGAGCCGAGCACCGCAGGCACGAGTTTTTCCTGCATTCTGAAAACACACTTAAATTAGACCAACTATTTTGACAAAATATTTTCCATTTTGACCAACTTTTTGAACTTAAAAATTATTGGGAGGGTGTCACC